TTTACCTTGGCTCACAGCAACTTTTGTGACACTTCACGCACCCATAACTCATGCGGCGCCCACTCCCTCCACGTACCACAAGGTAATGCAAAACCACAAGCTTTTCACCCCTTGTGCCATACACTTTTTGACCCTTTCCCGTCGTTCCCTCCCTTCACATCATTCTCTGCTACACATGGTTCCGTTTCATACTCCTCACCCTCACGGAAATGCTGCAACGTCTTGGCCGCTGGTCCAACGGGCACTAGGAGGACACGGTGCGCGGGGGCGGGGGCGGGGGCGGTACTGGCTCCTCAGGAGGCGCCAGGTCGAGAGGTACTTGTCCACAGGCGGCTGTACCCTGCAAGAATACGGGGAGGGTCCGTGTGGACGCGCCCTCAGGGCCTCCTCGTGCCCCAGATGCCTTATGACTTCTGAGCTTAGCTCGAGGGGCTCTGGGGGTTGTGGGTTTTGTCCTAGATCCGTGTGGCCCGCTCTCTGGAGCCAGCCCGGTTGGGTGGAGTAGTCCCTCTGCCCCGTGCTGGAGACACTGTTCCGGAAGCACTCGTGGATGTTTGCACAGAGAGACAGAGCAGGGGAAGCCTGCTGCAGCTGGAAGCCCGGAGTGAGATGAGAGAGCTGCTGGACAGGCCGGAGCTGGATCCCAGCCCTGCAGCCCCCATGCTTACCTCTGGAGAGGACCAGGCGTGCTGGCAGGGAGGCCACCCAGGAGCTGGCAAGGGAGCCGAGGGCTGGCCAGATCCCCCGTCCTGTCCCATGTGTGAGGTGGGGAGAGGCTCCGAGCTGGAAGGGGAGGAGGTGGAGGGGAGGGAAGAGGGTAAGGAAGCTCTGCTTCAGATCCCTGGGTCCTGAGCTTGCTGCTGCACCTCCGCCCTGCTCCTCCCAGCGCCCTGCCAGATGGGAGATGAGTGGGGAAGGCACTGGCTGTGCGAGCCCTGGAGTGGTACAGGGGGCACTGTTGGGCTTAAAGGATGGCAGCGGGAGGCCGTGGAGTGCCAGCGAAATCCTCATCCCAGCAGGAACTGACTTGCTGTGGAGGAGACGGGACTGCTAAGTTTAAGATGAGATACCTGGCAGCCAGGAGGTGGAGGTGCAGGAGGAAAGGGAGTCCTGGGGGGCCTCAGAGCCCCCTCCGGCTTCTCAGGCCGGCTGCCTCTCTGTCCTGAAGCTTTGGCTCTGGGTGTCTGTTCCAGCAGCCCTGGTCCCTCTGCACCTGCCCCGCCACACCCTGCCTCTGGCACTGCCTTGCGCTGTGTTGCTGTCTCAGTTATTTCACTTCAGTGTGGTCCTCAGTAGGACCCAAGCAATACACGCACTGACTCTGCTGGAAGCGCCTCGAAGCCCCGCGTTGGTGCACACAGCACAACTTCAGCACTCCCTAAAGCCCTGAAGGTCCAAGCTGCCTACATAGCCACTTCGTATGTTTTGCTAATGTTTACTTATTTGAGAGGCAGAGAGACCCAAGGGTGTGAGCTCTCCTCTGCTGGTTTACTCTCCAGATGGCCAGGACAGCCCCCCTGGCTGGGGCTGAAGCCCGGAGCTGAGAACTCAGTTCAGGTCTCCTCCCTGGGTAGCAGGAACCTAATCACTTGTGCATCACTGGTGCCTCCCGAGGTCTGCATTAGGAGGAAGCTGGAGTCGCAAGTGAAGCTGCGTGTCAGACGCAGGAACTCCCAAATGGGGCACGGACTTCTTAGTTGGCGTCGTAAGCACTACGCCAAATGCCTGCCCCTCCCCCTGAATTATCCTATTTCATTGCCAACTCTCACTTGACTGAGGAGGTAGGGGGATGCATGTTCCAGCACCTCCAGGAATTGACCCTTTGCTCAAATTCAATGAAGCCAGCACAACGACGGATTCGCTTTTTCTCTGACATTTGTGACAACCACGCGCTGTCCTTGCCTTCCCAAAAACAATTCTCTGTCCGGATGAGCCAGGGCGCTGCGTGTGGATTTTCAGATTCTTAGAGAATGATGTGGCCAGCCGTGCTGTCAGAGGCTGAGCAAATTCAGACAAGCGTCATCGTCACTTCCCTGGGGAATCAGAGAGAGAGCTGAGCTGGGAGAGGGAGGGCCCGCAGGAGAGCCTGGACCAGGAGGCGGCTCTGCCTGTACAATCTCTTGGCTATTTGAAGCAGCCAAGTTGCTTCTGGACCTTGCAGATGCTTGTTTGGCATTGTAGGGTGTCGGCATGGCAACCGTCTGGGCCAGACTTCACAGGGAGGTCTTGATTTGTAATATTCTGTCCTGCTGTCAACCCATGTGTTGCGGGATCTGCACAACTAAAGGGAGAGACTGATTTCATCTCTATACGGCTGCTTGCAACGTGGCAAGGTCTGTGATTTTTTTCCACGCTGCGCGTTGTGAGCAAGACCGTGCATTTGGGGACCTCCCCTTGAGTTTACACGGATGTACGCTGGCACAGGGCAGAGCTCATGCGGGACACAGAGCAGACGTGGCTGCCCTTGGGGTCTCCCACTTGGGGGGAACATTTGCGGTTGTTCTGGTTTGGGACTCAGGTTCTGCCCATGCTGGCTCTCTGACAGGCATGGGTGGGAGGCTAAGGTCATACATGGAATTTCACTGCTGTCTTTTTAAAAGCTTACCCGTTGTGAGTGTTTCCAGCATGGGTGTACTCACTGTGACAAGAGTCTCCTATTTAGACAGATTTTGCCAAGAGTTTTCCTAAACTGGAGTTTTTTGTTTGTTTTAAAGATGTAGTCATTTATTTGTAAGGCAGAGTTACAGACAGAGAGAGGGATCTTCCATTCGCTGGTTCACTGTCTAAATAGCCCTTATGGTCTGGGCTGGACTGACCCGAAGCCAGGAGCCAGGAGCTTCCCCCCTGGCCTCCCATGCGGATGCAGGGGCTCAGGCACTTGGGCCATCTTCCACTGTCTTCCCAGGCCTTCAGCAGAGAGCTGGATCAGGAGAGGAGTAGCCGGGACTCAAACCGGTACCCATATGGGATGCCCCCTCTTTTGTTTTTTAAAGATGTACTTATTTATTTGAAGGGCAGAGTTACAGAAAGAGAGGGAGAAACAGAAAGAGATCTTTCATTTGCTGATTCCCTCCTGCAGATGGCTGCAAAAGTCAGGAGCTTCTTCTGGGTCTCCTGTGTGGGTAGCAGGAGCCCTAGGACTTGGGCCATCGTACACTGGTTTCCCAGGCTCAGCAGGGAGCTGGATTGGAAGTGGAGTGTACTGGACTTGAACTGGTGCTCATATGGGATGCTGCTGTTGCAGGCGGTAGTTTAACCAGTGCGCCACAACGCTG